GTGGACAGCGCCGGGTAAGCACGTGTTTTCCTTCGTCCGCGTCCCCTTTGGGAATCGCGGACGGTAGCCTGCCCGGGGTGGCCTTGGGCACCCCGGCAGGCGTGTTTACTTGAGTGTTGGCTTCGGTAGCGTACGCTAAGCCCACAGCGGTGCCTAGTGCTTGAAGTGGTCGTACCACAACGAGCCGCACTTGCCGTAGGCCCAGCGCGTACGAGGTTTGCCCTAACACTCGCGACCAGGCCCATTGGCCATCGTGAGAGTGCGCGGCATAGCCACGAGGGACCTTTTCCCGACCGGCGTGTCAAAGCTCGCCATTGCCAGCTGCGACGTGCTCGCGGTTTTCCCCTTATTGTGAACGTCCGCGTGCGGGTGCCTTTGCTACCCGCGTCCCGGGAGCGGACGTTGTACTGTTCGGGGTGCCGCCAGAGGCAATAAAGTGTTGTGTACTTTTACATTAGAACACTGTCTATTTGCCGCGCCGCGCTAAACGCCTTATCAGTTGAGCGCGCGCGGAGCGATGCACTACACGCGAGTGAACGCAGTAGCGGCCCTGTGGCTCGCTAAGCGTGAACCCGCGGTGATCGTCCGCTGCAGTTACGAACGGGGTCACCACATCATTTAGGCCACACACGAACGCTTTGCCGAGTGAGACAGAAGTATTACTGGCCGAAACTGATGGCAACCGTTCAACAGCATGTTCGGACTTGTCTTGAGTGCCAACGTAGGAAAGTGCCAGCCGTCAAACCAGCAGGGCTCCTCTATCCAATTGATGTACCGGAAACTCTATTCGCTCAAGTCGGAAATAGATCTTCTAGGACCATTTCCAACTTCAGCTGCTGGTCTCAAATGGATAATTGTAGCCACAGACTACCTTACTCGCTACCCCGAAACAAAGGCTTTGGAGCGGGGCACAGCAAGTGAAGCAGCCGGGTTTTTCATTGAGAATATAGTCCTGAGGCATGGCGCTCCATCTGTAGTAATAACTGACAGAGGAAAAGCGTTCACAGCCGAGCTATTACGCACAGTTTTAAGTCTAAGTGGAACATCTCACCGGCGCACAACGACATACCATCCACAAACAAATGGTCTGACAGAACGGCTGAACTTGCGGATATGCTTTGCATGTACGTCGATGTGGAACATAAAAACTGGGACGAGATACTGCCTTACATTACTTTCGCTTACAATACGGCACAGCAAGAGACAACACACATGACACCATTCCATCTTCTCTATGGCCGTGATGTCACAACCATGCACGATGCTATGTTGCCGCATGAAAGTGACAGCATTGACAAAAGCGCAGATTACATAACTCAGCTTGCTGAAGAAGCCTGCCAACTTGCCCGCGTACGTATTCGTCGCCATCAGGACTAAGATACAAGGTGCTATAATCTTCGTCACCGACCTGTCTCCTATGAACCAGGACAGAAAGTTTGGATCTAGACCCCAGTTCGGCATCGTGGCCTCTCGGAGAATCTCTTGAGATGGTACTTTGGGCCGTATAAAGTCTTCCGTCGTCTCAGTGACGTCAACTATGAGGTGATTTCCGACAGTCCACATTGTTCAAGACGTCAAAGACATGCACCAGAAGTTGTGCACGTGGTTCGAATGAAACCTTATTTGTCCGAATGAACCCGTGGGCTGCAAGTGAATATAAACCCTTCCGCCATGATGATGAAGCATCGGGACCATGCCTTCTTGAGAGAGAGGCTAATGTCATGGTTATTAGCCGTAAGCTCAAAAGGAGGAAGAAGCCAGCATCACGAGCGAAAGTCTCTGGCGTTTTTCGAGGAAAATGACGCTGCGCGTCTGCTCTTGCGCTTTCTTTTCGTGTGCGAATAGAGCCTTGCTGTTAACGTCAAAAGGAAGCCTTGTGTCCTGTTCTTTGCACGTTGCGACAATATCATCTGCCTACCTAATTTTCTGTCTCCCTCTCACTTCTTTGCCTTCTCTTAAAATCCAGCCAGTTACGCTAAATGACCAGCAGTTACCCTGTCAACAAGCTACATGCCAGGCCCATGGGCAGTCGGGTCCACTGTTAAAGAGAACACTTGCGTATGCCACGCATTTGTATTTCACTCTCTTTCAAAAGCACAGTGGCTTAGATTTACAAGAAATTTGTGATGACTGGTTGTTCTGGCTCCTTTTGAGAGACTAGTGCCCCGCACTAGAGGTCCTGCAATTTGAGCGGTGCTCATTATAGTGTTTCCTTTAACAGTGGACGTTTCTGTACATGTCCACAAAAACACGACACAGAGCGAACCAACTGCTGGCATAAAAATACCTAGCTATACTATAAATAAGGGAGGCTTTGTTTATGGCTCTAAATGTGCTGCACTGCAAAGGAACCGCACATACTCCATCTGTAAAAAGCTCTTTGTGTTTGAATCCACCATGTCAGTTACACTATAGGCGCAAGTGAATGTTAAAATGTGCACAGTACATATGCGACCATAACATCGGGTGTTTATGAATACATATACGTGCCAAAGTATTGTTAATATGATCACTACACTTGCAGGGTTCTTTAACAAAAGTTGACTAATAGCATAAGAGTTTTGCTGATTGACGATGAATACTTGCAGTGGTAGATGTTCATATGGCACGTACAAAACACCCCAGAAAATAAATATAGTTGCGATATTATTACAAATCAACTCGCGGATGGCGGCCAGTCTTAGGTGCGGACTGGCAACCTACCAAATATTTAAGAAGACGGCCAAGCCTGTCCAAAACCACACAGGTGGCAACCCTAACTATTGTACTACAGTGCCTTGTCGAAGGACATTTTGTGAATTTTCGGAGAGTGACTTGTCTCCTTGCCGCCCCCTTGCAAGAAGTTTGCTTTTGGGGATGAAAGGAAAGAAAAAAGCCACTGGGATTGTACGGTAATAATCTATAACTATGTTTACACTTGAAACATCTATAATGTATGGAAATGTGCAGCCCAGAATACAGAACGAAAGTCTGAGAAGCACATACGGACAGCGCTGACTCTTTATGTGTGCTTCTTCATCGCTTGTCCTGCACTTTGCACTGTATAACTCCATACGTTATGAGCAGAGCACAACCAGCCGGACTTTCTTTTCTGTTGTTTGTACTTGAAAGCCTAGAAATTTTCGCAGCGGGAGAATCGCGGCTTAATCCAGCCCAACAATGAGACCACTTTGTTGATTACAATGGTGTTTCAGAGCCCCTTTAAATGAGAAATGCTCCTCCTGAAGAATAATTTAATTTTTCTTTTTTGCCTTATTAAGCAGGCATTGTGTACCAACAATTGTGCAAGCGTAAAAAGTGACAAAGGTTCACAAGATCGCCAACGTGTTGCTGCAAAACACAGATACGTTTAGCTGAACATGCTTACACAGCCCACTCATGCACCGAGAAATGCTATGGCATGCAAATCCTGCCAAGTGTAAACGAAATGCAAGAAATATTTGCAGGTGAAATCCTTACTTCGACCATGTCTTTTGTGAAAGAAGAGAGCGCATCCTGTGGAAAGAAATGAATGCATGCCAGGCAAGTTGAGCGTTTCCTTCTTTTCCTTTAGACGTGTGAATTCATGACAACGTATAGAACTTATTTGTAACCTGCAAGTGCGCTTGCACTTGCAGGTTACAAACCCTGACCCACGTAGCAACCACCTATTGCAGGCCTCCCAACACGGAAAGTTGGAAGTTTTGCGATAAGACACCCGAAATTTCTCTATTCATGCCGCAATGTCTCTCTTTGGCACAGATAGGCATGCAATAAACGTGTTTCTTTATTCCTTCCTTTCATAACTTCTATTTTTAAACTGATACAGATTACACTTCACATATATTTAACAGCACCAAGTTCATCGATGAGGCTCCGAAATCGGAGTAAGTCTATCCTCCATGAACTTATCACTGGCAAAGCATGCTAAATCTGCTTTGATGCGAAATCATAAAACATGCGCTTCGGTAAAGTTGTTAAAATGCTCCAATGATGTCACATGATGATGCAACAAAATACGAAATGGCTGTGGGGAGCAAGCGACATTCAGTCAAAGCTCCAAGATCTAATGGTATGCAGAAAAAGCAACAATACTATAATTGTCGTATAAAATAAGAGCCACACAGCGAGCCTGAAATTTCCGTAAAACTACCAAAGTTTCTCTCGTTGCACATACTGCTGAAAATGACTTTAATATGAAAAGTTTCCTCGAGCTGGCAGCCCTGAAGTGCAGTCAGTAAAGAGACAAGAGCACAGCAACCGATTCAGCCTAATTTTGAGCTTTCGTTGGAGGAGCTTCTCGATGAGGTTAGAATTTGGACTTGTTTTGATCATCATGAGCTAGGAAATGTGAAATGAGGCGAGAGGAAAAAGGGGCATGCTGCACAAGTTATTTTTATTTTTTTTGCCCTCACCCTTACCTTGTTTGGTGCTGCTCAAGCAACCTCACAAACACTGCAGAATCCCAAGGAACTGACAGATGATCAAGTCGGCTAATTAAGAGCTCCTCCTCAGCCCTGGACTATACCTAAAGATCTGCAGCCCGCCTGCCCTACGCCTGTGAGATGGCTGTGGTAGCTGGTTTTCACTTCAAACCCTAGTACCTTCATTTAAGTTAATATAAGCAATATGCATGTTAGGAGTTGAACGTCCGTCATTCCTACTTAAGACCTCGAGTTTGGCTGAGCAGCAAAGTCGGAATCTTCGAAGAAACTCGCCGAGATGTTCAAGTTTTTGACCTAAAACCAGTGACACAAATGAGTGTCTGTACGGTAAAGTCAACGACTTGAAACCCTCTAGAACAACTTGACATCTTAAAAACGAGTATGCGCAATTGAATAGAGCATTTACGCAAATACCTATTGGGAGGTGAAGGAGTGGTTGTGGGTGGGTCTGACATTATCTTTAAGTTGCAAACGAGTACGTATTATCACTGGCTACATATAACAATAACACATGGACAGCATCACTAAGGAGGTGTTCACATGCACTATGAGGAAAAGTGTCAAGAGTGTATCTACCATCCCGTGCTTGAGAAGCGATGAGCCTGCAAGAGCAGCGGCACCTGCTGCTAATCCGGCTCCCAGGCCGCCCAAGCCAGAGCCGTGCTTCTGGTCCGTAGGATGTGGCTACAGGGCCGATTGAGCATACAGAGGAAATGGGAAAACGCAGCACAAGCCAGGCACACCACACTTGCTTGAATATCGGAAGACTCGAGTATTTCTTTTAGTAAAGAACGTTGGCAACCAGTCAACATAGGTGTCGGGAGTAATGAAGCACTAATTGCTAAGTTGTATTTTTTTAAGGGAAAAATGATCTGGCTTTGTCTTAACAACCTTACAATAACTACGGTAATGGTCACCCTGTATCGGTCCTTCGCTGATGTTCAAGCAAGCATGGCAGCAACAATAAAAAAAAGGAAACACACAGGAAACTGGCCACACATAGACAGCACACAGAAAACGATACAAGATGATGAAAATGTAAGAGCTGATCAACATTGACAAATATACAGAAAAAGTGATGGGATGTTGTGGTGGTGCTTCTCCATGAATTTGTAGATGCGCTCGACTTGAGAGCATTCATAAGCATGCCCACAATGTGTCAGAGCAGATAGTATGCCGTGTAACATTGGCAGAGCTCAAGTAGTATGGAAGAGCACTTTATGTAGTAGTACTACAAAGGGGGCTGTAGTTGGTGGATATTCTTGCTGCATTTGTCCAGATAAGAATGAGCCTGAAGTCCCTGTCATCTTTGTGCGATATCGATGAAATTGACTCTAAGGGCAGGTTTCAGATCCAGAACAACTATTTAGTTTTACAAATTTAGTTAGTTTTACAAAAAAAAATTCTATTCGTCAAATAAATGACAAATTTTGGCCAAAACATAAATAAATAAAACAATAATTTGCTGTCAGCTTTGCAATTTGAAATTTGAACATATTTACAGGAAACACTGCATATCTCACTCACAACATTCATTCCCATCAAGAAACAAGTCAAATGCAATTTTATGCATTTACTTTCCTCTGGTGTCGAAGCAACTTTGACACAATAAAATCACAATAAATTGCAAATAAAATGAACAGCCTAAAATACCAGCATTCGGGAATTTCTTGTTGCAGGAAAGTTGTACAGAGGATTATAAAACTCAATACATAGTGATTTTGATATCTGGCCTTCGTTAAAAAGATTTTCATGGTTCTTGTGCATGTGGTTATACTTCGCAATTGAGCTAAAACATAGCAGGACTAAAAAGAATGCCAAAGGCTGAAAATAGTTTTCGCAAAAGCTATTATTAATTTAAAAGAAATCTCTCTCTCACAGTTCAAAGTCAAGAACACTGCCTACCATACTATATAAGAAAACAGTGCATTGAGTTCCTGATAAGTTACCATGTGTCAAATATAACCAATGCCATTATATAAATCAAAATGGGATAAATGTCACCGTTCTGTTATATAGCGGCATTCACAGCGAAGCCGTAAGACTGCACTCACGTAATACTGCACTCCAGAGGCGTGTCCAGGGTAACCCGCTGCGGGGTAACCAGCTCCAGGATATGCGGGCGGCACACCAGCCGGAGGTGGGTAGTAACCACCAGCCGGTGGAGGAGGGTAGCCTGCCTGCGGAGGGTACGGTGCGCCAAACCTTGCGTCGCCGTACGGTGACACCCTACCAGACGGAGGGGCCACTGGCATTGGCATGTGCATGTCCGGTCCCAGCGGCATCTGTCACGGGAAGCAGTTTGTCGTTTCCAGGTGATGAGATCGCGCGAGGGATAACGCACCAGACTATGGCCCGTATTCACAAACCAACCTCGGCCTTACCTCACGTTTTCCTCAACTTCCTGTACTCTCTACATGTTATAAAAGCACGAAATTCGTAACAGGGCGAAAGATAAAGACAAGACTGGTTTATGAGTACTGGTCTGATTTGTTTATCATGTGCAATAAAAGTTTAAAACAGATAAGGAAAACTCGAGAAAAAGTTGAGGTCGGTTTGTGAATACGGGCCTATGGTTCATTCCCATCTGAGACTAGGACCGATCAGGCAACTGTTTGCTACAGGCAACAAAAAAGCAACTTGAAGCAACCAATATTCAGGCCTTTGAGTGACCTGTATTCTTCTCCAAACACAGAATTCACGGGGTTCTCACATTGCCACTGGCCGGCAAAATACGCTGGCGTGCTGTTCCTGCAGATCTGATTGGATCAGAAGTTTGTGATTGCAGCTGCATGGCTGAAAAATTGAGCAGCAAGCTACCGAGCCAAATCAGTCGCTTTGCGACTATTCGTGACCAGTCACCTTGCGACCAACTTGGTCATGTGGCTGGTGCTAGTCAGAGGCATTACTGAGCATTAGTGAAGACTTCAGTTATCTGGGCAATTGAGGCGTCTTATCAAGTCAGAAATAGACCTTTATCTTGTTGGTACTAGCATCTTGTACTAGTATTTCAATTGATGAGCAGGTTGATTGACTAATTAATAGATTGATTGAAAATGTTCACCGCATAATATTAAATGTAAAATGGGAGCCAGTACTATAGACAATAAGTATTACATTCGTAAATTATTTATGTAGCCACAGAAAATCTGATTGATAAAGAAATGTGGCTGTCGTCTAGGGGAAATAAAGTTTTAACTTTGAGCCAGCAGAAAACCCCATGATGACCTGAGGCTTGCGATTTTAACAAAGTGTCATTCTGTCTTAAAGAATCCATGACATGGCCATATTACCAATCTCAGTGTATCCTTGTAATTCAGAGCAGTAGGCCCCAAGTACATACACACACAAAAAAAAACCTTCATTCTAAAGGTACATCTAAACAGAAAAACCTCAATCTAAAAGCGCTGCCGCTAATTCTTTCTCCAGCAGTGACATACGACAACATGACATGAAGATCCACAGCCATGTTGTTAGCTTTCAAACAATTGACAACTTGGCCACTGTGCCATCAAGGGGCACAAGAGACATCAAACGGCTACGCCACCACGCGTGTGGTAGGCGACTGTTTTGCATTTACAGGTCTACACCCAAGTGCTGTATCGTTTTCAAAATATAAGCAAATTATAGCAAACTTTGCATAATGAAGAGCATTATTTTTTTTACAAGCTAAATCTTCACATTTGCAAAGCATCATTTAAGCCTACGAAAGCTAATAGAAAGTCCGTAGAGTTATTTTATATGATAAAGCAAGTCTCAGTAGAATGTAATAGTAAAACAATGAATTAGTCTGCTAATTCATTATAGTACTTAGTCTCTATGTACTCTAGCTTTTTCTTGCTTTTCATGAAGTTCATATATGGTTACGGGTAAATATAAACACGAAGTTTTCATTTCCCTTATATATGGTTACGGGTAAATATAAACACGAAGTTTTCATTTCCCTTCTTGAGGAATAATGTTTACAGTTTGCAAAGTTAAAGCTCGACATATTTAATGTACAGGTAAGCTTTTTCTCCATGCACAAATTTCAACACTGCAGGCACTACTTGACACATCAAAACACAATCCTTACCATTGGAGCCTGAGGAGGTAAAAGAAAGAACACTGTTATTATTTAGGTAGATAACACCAATGCTTACAGCATTCCTTGAAAACACAGTTGATTCTGTGCTGCAAAGGTGAACACTAACACTGTTAGCAAGGTGTAACAGAAGTGTCCTAAGGTACTTTCAGCTATATGCCTTTATTTCTTAGCCCTTAATGAAATGAACAAAGAACAATCTTATTACTAAAGATAGTTAAAAATGTGCAAAAACTTTTTAATGGGCCACGCATGTGTGCAGTGGTTACATGGTGTTCTTCCCTAATAAAAGAAAAAGAGAAGTTTAACTAGCCGAGAGTAGAGTTTAGTAAAACACACAGCACAAATAACGACAGAGATACATTTCACCTCCATCGAAATGCGGCCCCTATGGCTGGAAATCGAACGCTCGAGCACAGTTGTGCAAAGGCGTCATTCTTCAGAACCCCAAAAAATGTTTCAGTAAACTAATTTAAACATCTAGTAATGATGACATCCCGTTTTACCGGCACTCACATACTCGTCGAATCACCAGGAGTTAACGACGACTCCGTCGCACTTGCCAACGACATCTGTTAAGACGGTTAACTACGCTAATGAAATGTCCTTAGTGCAAATAGCAAAGCCTCATTTCGAGATTGTCAAATGCATATGTAGAAAAATAAGCTCAACAAAAGACACAACTGAACAGACCAGAAGTGAGGAAAAAAAAAGAAAAGGTTGTGGGAGACAGTATGAACCATACTTGACATTTGTTTGCGAGAGCGGCGGGCAGGCATAGCCACTCTGATCAAGCATACCAATGTGCGGCACATCTCGCGCTACTCGAAACGTTTTCTGTAGTGGTTATGGAGGCAAATCGCTACATCGCCACAACCCAATGCAAAAGTGTTCCGACATAACAAAGAGGCACGAGTCAGCCAACCGCAGGAGTATTCTTATGCAGCTACAGGTGGTTTCGTATTAACAGCATATCAGTGCTTCAGCAGCGATTTTCTACAAGATAGTTTTTAATTTATGACTTCTTACCGATGGCACCCCTTCAAACTGAACCAAGCTGATTGTCGTATCACCGTCCATGGTCAAGTGGGTGACCCGCTGAATCGGAATGCGGTGCCGGAACTCGGTGTAGTGCTTGCCGTTGATGGCGATCTGCATAGCAACAGTTCAGCCACGTGAGAATCCAGAATGCCTTGGGCAGTGCCATTTCTTTCATTTTTTCATTTCCTCTGCATGTGACCTGCTTCACTGGCACATTTTATACACGAGTGAATAATGGTTGATTTCAAGATAATATTTTCATAATAGTATGCACCAATTTTCAAATGCTCGTAAAATGCAAAAATACAAAAATACTCTGATTATATCAACGTACGCCAAGTAGGCAGAAGAATTTTGAGCTAGGGCATCGAAATGTTACCAATAGTTTCTAACATCTGCAATTAAAACAAAAAAAGGCGATGTGAGAAGCTAGTGAAGTCGTAACTCTGCACCAAAAACAGGTGTCGTATTTGCTAAGTAACATTACGGTTACCGTGTCTACTCGCGTAATCCTTGCACTCCCATAATTCTTGCACCTCACACATCAGCCAACAAAATATGATTTTTTTTACCGCGAGTAATTATCGCACCGCTGAAAATTGCCGAAATAATGTCGTCTGCTCGTTCCCGTCACTGATCATGATAGTGCGCATAGAGTTTCCAAAAAATTAACTAGAATGGACTCTGGCGCTGTGATCGTTCAGGGATTAAGGGAATGATGGGTAGTACACAGATTTGGCTGGTCCTCATACTTGCGGGCAGCGAATCGCACTTACAGCTTTGTTTATTGCTGGTTTTGGTTTCGTTTTGAAAGTTATTCATAAAACAGAGCGCACAAAACAAGGCACAGAAAGAACTCTTCTGTCCCGTGTTTTGTGCGCTCCGTGTTATGAAGAACTATGAATAACCAACAGGCCCAAACCTTCCCCCTTTTGTTCTTTTGAAAAAAAGAATGATTCTTTTCAATTTTGTCACCCGATTTGACATGGTAAGCCTAGAAGAATAAGGTGGTGAAGCGCAACCACTGAACATTTGCTGATTTTTGTGTCATGAGAAAACAGCTCCAAGTCACACAAATACACACAGAGCCAGAAGCACACCAGAAGTATGAAGATTAGACAAATCTGTGTACTACCCATCATTCCCATTTGCTGGAGCACCGTGCGTTGCAGCTCTCATAGCCACTAGCGCTAGAGCTCCCTCTAGTTTATATTCAGGAGACTCTATGATAGTGCACACCATGTGGCACCCTCTCCTAATCATAAAGTGTACTATTATTGCACCGAGATTCAATCCAACCCAAGCCGAGTCAAAGTAGCAAGTGCGCGTTGCGGCGTGTTTTGTAGGTTGTGTAATGTTATGTTATGGGGCGTTACAGAAGCTACACGGCTGCTTTCAATTTGAAAGTGATTGATCATGCACTAAAAAATGGCAACATGGTGGCCGGTAGGCTCTTCGAAGTCTAAGAGTTTTGTGTTCACTACTAGTGACGGCAGCTGAAAGCCACCAAGATGCATTGGGCCTTTCATGTGCTTAAGACTGGGATGGATGGTAAACTCGTCAGAAGACAACTGCGGACGATTCACTTAAATGGCCATCATCTCAATACTGTCGTCGAACGCTAACCTTTTGCAGGCTCCTGTTTAGTGACGAACGCTATTCCTACGCCCGCAACGCCCACAAGCTTTGCGTACGGTATTCTAATTTTCGACTATTTGCTTGCGCCTTTTGTGTCTCAAATAAATCTCGCGCCGAACCTGTGCTTTTATTATTGAGGTAAGTCTTAATTAGTACTTCTGAAAGCTTGCAGTTAGTTGCTGGCTTGAGAATCCCGATTTGCGGCCACTTCGTTTTCTTTTTCGCTCTGTACATTTTTGCCATAAGTTTTCCGCATAATCCTCGCACCCCCCCCCTCCAACTTTGCAGTGGTTTTTCGCCAAAAAAGTGCGAGGATTATGCGAGTAAATACCGTAGTTTTGTTTGCCTTACCTCTTATGTGCCCATGGTGTGCTTTATAAACAAATTAATTATCATAAGCAAACCCTATAGTTACTGCTTGCCCTCCTCACCGTTTTTGTGCCCTCAATGCACTGAACTATGTAATTTTAAGGTTATGTCTTGCTTCCTAGAGAAATGATATCAATTTGACTTAAAACTGCAATGTCACCAGGGGTGACAGAAGCAACTTAGAAAGTCTGTGTTAAGTACCACTAGCTTACAAAGATCCATTGCACAGTCTCAACATACCATACCAAACTACCACACAGCATTATTGGGACATGCGAGTCGAAAAACGCAAGTGTATTCCAAAATCGCATAGTTTTTTTTTTTCATCTGCTTTCACAAATCTACATTCTCTACAATCATGATGAAAAAAACCAAATATTGTAATTAAACTCAAACTGGGTTAAAATCGCTTTTAAACAGCAAATGGTAGTTACTAAAATCTAAAAAGAGCTCACTGTCTACATTTGTCAGAAAATTGTCACGTGGCTTCTAGCCATAGCATATCTATCACATGGCTCTTTGCCATAGCATAGCAAAAAGGAATATCCATTTACTTTTGCAAATGAATATTCCCCTTTTAGCAGCATAATTATCGTGTCCTCAACCATTGACACTTGTTAATTCCTGTGTTGTGCTTTTCCTTTTTTTTTTTCTTTCAAGTGCACATGTAACCATGCCTCGTTCATCCTTTCCATTGTCATTTATTGATTCTTTGTTTTCTTGTACTGGCCCAGGCTCTTATGTTTCAACAAATATTCACGCACGTGAGTCCTTCTCGCCCTTAACTGTCTCACTGTTGTACTTCTGGTCCCTCCCCTCGTCTCGTTCTAACGAATCACGATGATATGTGTACCTGTATATGCATGGCAGGAATCTGTACTTAAACTCGAACTTAATGTACCAATCGCATCTTTGATAAATGCCGGCCTTTGGCCGAAAGCTCAGAATAAATATTGTTCATGTATTTCACTGTGACCTGCTGTCATATACTTAAACCAGTTAGCCAGGAATATTCTTATGAAACTATATATTGTTATGACTGGCACACCAAGGAGATGGATTCCAAGGGACGCTTATCGGCGCAACGGTCAAACTCTGTCCGCGTCCTGCAGGAACGCAAGAGGTATCTGTGTGCACTGCAGGAAATGTGCATCGGCGTCGCTGAGACACACAGCCTGCGTATGAGAAGATGCGCGTGCACAGACGAGAGGTATAAAAAGTGTCACGTGTGCAGTCAGAGCTCTCTCTCTCTGGCCTTTGTTACGGCTGGTCGCGTCTGACGTGAAGGTGCTTCTACACGCCTAGTGTTCTTCACTCCTGTAAATAAATTATGTGTTTGTGTTGACAAGAAGCCTCGCAAGGGTTCTTCCTTCCCCAGCACCTTGGTGACTGCCTGTAGCCCCGCTTCTCGGTCACATCAACTGGTTGGCAGCGGCGAGATTTAGTTCGTGTTCCTTCATGCCGCTGAAGCTGGCGAGCGCTCACCTTCTGTAGAGATCTGCCAGGTGCCTTGGATATATGCTGAGGTTTATCCGAAGGGGCATATATTGGTTGCTGTTTCATGAAGGCTCGGGTATTTTAGCGGTACCTTCACGGCAGTTTGAACGGAAGTCCGCACAGGGAAGGACCAAGGAGTTGAACAAATTAAGAAAATCAGATTTAGTGCTTTTGTGCGAGGGACTGGGGATCGAGGTGGCAACGATACATAGGAAGCCACACTTGATAAAGGCAGTTAAGAAGTCCGGTGTGAATGAGGACGAGCTTTCCGAGTGCTGGGAGGTAATTCAGGAAAGGATGCAATGGGCACGAGAATAGGAGGAAAGAGAGAGCGTCAGGTGTAAAGAAGAAGTGCAAAGACAAGAGAAGAAGCTTGAAAAATTAAGGCTTGAGCGGCATATTGCTGAGGCAAAACTCGCGATAGGTCAGAGAACAGGAAATGCAGAAATTCATGCAGTCATTGTTTCTTGTAAATTTTGAAAGGACTTGTCTGAGGATGTGCTGCAATCGTGTCACATGGCTGCAAATACTGCTAATGATTTTGCCTTGCGAAGAAGCGGACACGCTTGCGCGTTTGCCAGCAACAAACGTGGAGGATTATGACAAACTGAAGGCTGCGCTCCTAAAGAAATTTTGGCTTTCAGCAGAGGCATTTCGCTGCCGCCTTAAGGACGCTCAAAAGAAAGCGGGCGAAAAATTTCAGGAGTTTGCGTTCAGCATGACGGCCGACTTGATGGAGTGGCTAAAAGAAGAAGGTGCCTACGAGGATCGAGACAAGCTGGTGGATTTGATATTCCTTGAGCAATTTTATGGGCGTTTAGATGAAGAAATGCGTTTATGGATCCAAGATAGACCAGGCAAGAGCAACATTGAATGCACAGCTGAGTTGGCCGATGAGTACACCACCATTGCCAGTCTGAGAGCATACGTTTGTCCCTTTAGCAAACAGCCGTTCAAATATTCTATGGTACGTAAAGGCGGTAGTGCTGTAAAGGATGCCCCTGAGAGTGAAACAAAGGCAAATTAGGGCAAAGAAAAGTGTTTTGAGTTGAAAAAGCCACTGCTGTATTTCTGGTGCCAAGAGCCAGAACACATCGCGGCTGGCTGCCGGAAGCTGAAGCTAGTATTTTCATTTTGTTGGCGGTCGCAACGAGAATATGCATTTCTTAAAGCCTTATGTACGTGACTTAAGGGTAAACGGAAAGGATTGCAGAGTACTTCGGGATACCGCTGCAACAATCGACATTATCCACCCCGATTACATAGAAACAGAAATTTTGATGGGCAAGTTAACATTCATAAAACAGGTGGCACAAGAGAACAGCGTTTGCCTGCCTATCGCAAAGGTAAAGTTTGAGGGACCGCTTGGGGTGCTAGAGACCGAGGTGAGAGTGTCTCAGAGTTTGCCGAAGCAGTATTATTACCTCTTTTAAAACAAGTCCAACTTTCTGTTAAGAGAATTGGGTCTTAGCTTCGGAGGTCTCTGTGTGCTAGTGACTAAGCTGAAGTCGAGACCACAGGAACGGCGACGCCCTAAGCGCAGGTGCCACTTAGCGAACTAGCGGGATAAACACAGAACAGTACTTCGAGTTTCTGAGCATGCTACG